GGCCAACAGCCCCTGCTCCTGCCACCGCCTCTTCCAGGGAAGCGGCTCTCTGACTCTCTCTCTCAGCACCCCCAGCACCAGCCCGGCCAGCACCAGCTTCAGTGCCCGGCAGTGCTTCCTCCTCCTCCTCCTCCTCTTCGACCTGCTTCAGCCGCCTCGGCTCTGGAGGGTGTCTGGGCTTGCCTCACAAAGTTTGCTCCCCTGTCATGGTGGGCGTAGCTGCTGCTGAGTATGCCTTTTTTTTGAGGGGGCCCTCAGAGGAAGTTTGCCGGACCTCCATGTGTGTGTGTTTGTGTGCGCGCATGCACCTGTAGGGGGCTCGCCCTGTTCTGTTTAATTTCGCAGGTACCGATGGGGGCTTTTCTCCTTCGGCAAGGCGAATTCTGTGAGCATTTTTAAATTTTACATCGTGCCCTCCTCCCCCCGGCTAGGCGGTTGCTGGCACTCCCTTCCTTCTCTGCTTTTTTGTCCTGCTGCTGCTGGTGGTGATGGTGCTGGTGATAGTGAGGAAGGAGCCGGAGGGGGTCATGGCTGGCTATGAGTGCTCTTGCGCTCATCCTCCTCCTTGGAGCCCTAGCCGGCCTAAGGAAACTCCCAGGCAGCTTCCTCGGGCTCTTGTTCTGCTTGGCGGAAAATCTGATGTGGTCCATCCTCACCCAGACTCCGCCTCCAGTGGCCCCCAGGTAAATTGAGTTTGAGACCCCTGTTCTAGGAGAACCGCATTCATTTTGTTAAATGCATTATAATCTGTAATTGAAATTTGCATGCAGAGGTTTTCCAAGCTTGGTATTGTGACTGTGGTTTTATTTCAAAAGACATCTTTGCAGTCTAGTTCTAGCCTCCATTGTTTATAATAGTTTTACTCCTTTACTTCCCATTAAAAAAGCTCATTATCGTAGAGCTTTAGAGCCTTAACAAATGTACATGTTGTCAAAGGACAGATGCTGCCCAATATATGTTTACATTCCCACAAGTCCTTTGAAAGAACTAAATTTGCATTTTCACCCAAACAGATTAGCACTGTAATCAAATATACTGTAAGCAACAGTCTTCACAGTGGTTAATATTCAGTCATACCCCATTACAATAATACACATAATTCAATTGCTGTTGTTTTATTTTAAAAAAGATAGCACATCCATTTACCAGATGCCATCCTATTAAACTGGAGCAAGAAATGGAAAACACAAAAGCTTGATGAGGATGTTCCCAGCACCCCCTACCTTGTTGGAGCCTTTAGGAAGCCATCTGGCCCATGTCATTGGGTAGAATCCAGATCAGCAGTGCAATGACAGCTAGCCAAATGGTCAATAGCCAGTCTGAGCTGTGCTGATTCCGAGGATCTGGGAGCAGTGGATTAAAATGTATCAGATGCAGAGGTAGGAATTAGGATTAGGCACAAACCCACTGGGGGAAATGTCCTGCCAACAGCAAGGCCCTTCTGCTGGCAGAACGCACTTCTTCAGGCTGATCTGGGAAATCTGCCAGCAGAGTGAACAGCCATTAGAACTACTTGGCTGGTTACAGTACACCAGACAAAGAGCCAAAAATGGGGCACAGCAGGGAAGGTCCTGTATGACACTAGATGAAAACATCCTCAGGGAAAGAGACACAACGCTGGTACAAAGTTAGACAATCCTAAGTAGTTGCAGCTGCAGGAAAACTGGGGACTAGTATTGATTATAGGGAGTATGTAATGCCTTTTTAAAACCAGCTGGCAGTCAAAATTGGGAGGAAAGCGATGACAAACCTTGACAGCATCTTAAAAAGCGTGCATGTGTGCTGCTTATATACCACCCCATAGCGCTTCAAGCACTCTCTGGGCGGTTTACAATTTAATTATGCAGGCTACACATTGCCCCCCCAGCAAGCTGGGTACTCATTTTACTGGTAGAAGGCTGAGTCACCCTTGAGCCGGCTACCTGGGATTTGAACCCCAGGTCGTGAGCACAGTTTTAGCTGCAGTACAGCGGTTTAACCACTGCACAACGAGGTGCAGAGATATCACCTTGCCAACAAAAGTCCGAATAGTCAAAGCTATGGTTTTTCCTGTCGTGATGTATGGAAGTGAGAGCTGAACCATAAAGAAAGCTGACTGCTGAAGAACTGATGCCTTTGAATTGTGGTGCGGGAGGAGGCTCTTGAGAGTCCCCTCGACTGCAAGGAGAACAAACCGATCCATTCTAAAGAAAATCAAGCCTGAGTGGTCACTGGAAGGACAGATCCTGAAGCTGAGGCTCCGATACTTTGGCCATCTCATGAGAAGAGAGGACTCCCTGGAAAAGACCTTGATGTTAGGAAAGTGTGAAGGCAAGAGGAGAAGGGGACGACAGAGGATGAGATGGTTGGACAGTGTCACCGAAGCAACCAACATGAATCTGACCCAGCTCCGGGAGGCAGTGGAAGATAGGAGGGCCTGGTGTGCTCTGGTCCATGGGGTCACAAAGAGTCGGACACGACTAAACGGCTAAACAAACAAACGAACGGCAGTCAAAATGTTGGTTATTACCGAAAAAGCTCTATACAGCTTCGGTCCAGGCTAGATATGGGCACAAACTGACAGTCTGGCATTTTGTGCCAGTTTGGCTGATGGACACACAGCTCTTCTGTGGTTTGGTCAGTCAGAATGTTGGTTATTACCGATAAAGCTCTATACAGCTTCGGTCCAGGCTAGATATGGGCACAAACTGACAGTCTGGCATTTTGTGCCAGTTTGGCTGATGGACACACAGCTCTTCTGTGGTTTGGTGCCCTGCCTCCTCTAGCAGGTGCCCACTCAGAGGCAGTGCCCTGCCCCCACACCCTCCAGACCCTGCCTTTGAGAGAATGTT